CCTTGGTGTAAAACATCAAGAATGTCTCAGAGATGTAAAATTGCCCACTGAGCAGTCATAAAGAGCTCATTAAATACTTCCTCCTTCAGAAGTGTTTTTTGGTATGGTTTTCTTCTTAAAAGTGGGTGTAAGAAAAAAAATCTGTCATTGGCTAATAAGGGAAGAATATCCAGGTGCTTTTATGTTTTAATATCCAGGCCAGTGGATTATTTTGCTGCAGTAGTGGCCTTCAGAGCAAATCTCTCTGCTACATCAAAGAGACTGCAAGAAATGTCCTGACCCCAGGTGACATTTGTCTGAAAAACAATCTGGGATTTGTCTCTGTCAGTTTATCCACGTCAGGGAGAGAAACAGCCCGAGCAGGTTATCCCCTGCTATCCAGGACCCCGCAGGGTCAGCCGGGGTCTCTCTCTTTGCCCGCAGCCAGCGGCTCTGCCCCGCTCATCGCGCTGGAGCGCTACGAGCACGGGGGGATCCGGGTGGCCTGTCGCTCTGCCGGCTGGTACCCACGGCCCCGGGTGCTGTGGCACGATCCCCACGGGCGCCATCTCCCGTCCCTCTCGGAAAACGCTACCCAGGACAAGAATGGGCTCTTTGCAGCTGAGAGCAGCATCATCCTCACCAGAGGTGGGAACCAGGAACTCTCCTGCTCGGTGCAGCACCTCCCGCACACACCAGGACAGGGATCAGCCCTTTACGTCTCAGGTGAGTGGAGGATGGGGCAGGGCCCTGCCGACGGGCCCACGGAGCTGTGCTGGGCACAGCACCCCCAGGCCCCTGGCAGGACCCGTGCTCAGCGTGTCAAGGCCATTTCCATCCCACCTGTGCAAACGGCCGCGGCTTTCGGCAGCGTTGGTGCAGGAGTGCTGCCAAAACCCACCGGGGCCGTCTGCAGGAGCCGCTCAGGGGGGCACAGGTACAACCCCCCTTGTGGCAGAGTTTATACAGACACCTGGCTGAAAGAAGCACATTCCTAACCCTGGAGCTAAATGAAAAAGGAGAAGTAAAGAGGTGCCCTTAGTCTCCCCTGCTGTGAAATCCTGTCCTATTTAGAATGAGAAATAAATCCTTGTGTCTCCTTTTAGCACCTGCAAGGATAGAATGTAATTCTAATTTTCCCTTGTCTCATAGAAAACTCCTTTTTCACTGGATGATCGGTTTGGGGCTGGGAATATATCAGAGCAGAGATGCAATGATGAACTGCATTAACCATCTACCAAAGGACACTGCAGCAGCACGTCCTTTCCAACTCCACCCTGCTCCTCTTCTAGTCCAGAAATTAACAAGTCCTGGATGCTTTATTTCCTTGGGGAGCCATTACCTTTCTCCTGCTGATGCTGTTATGCACTACAGTGGTGCTCCTGGTGTACGTCACCCTATTTCTGATCCCATGTTGCCTAATGAGATATAATATTTGTTTTTTCCAAAGGAGAAGAAAGCATGATTTAATCAGAAATGATTTGGTTAGAAATCCATCTTCCTTTTAAAAGTTCTCCACAATGCAACAAAATGTCATCAACCTCAGACAGGTGCAAAATTGCCAACATGGATGTTCTTAAATGTCATTTTTTGTTCATTTGTGGAGCACAGTCTGGTTTTCACCCTCAATGGGATTCAGATGGAATGACCTTGTATGAAATAGAAATAATCTCCTTTCTATTGCTACTTTCACAGTAACCTCCCTTTGGGGATTTTATTTTTCAGATCCCTTTTTCCAAGATGCCCATCCTTGGAGGATTGCCCTGGGCGTGGTCCTGGTTGCTGTGGCTACTCTCCTTATTATCACTGTTTGTCTATTTAAAATTAAAGGTACCATCCTGGGTATGGGGGCTGGGGAAGGGGCTGGGCAGCCATCCTACTCAGCCACCTCTAGTCCTGAGGGATGAGGGGGTTGAGAAACAGCAGGATGGAACCAGAGTCTTGTCCTGGTGTCTCAGGCACGTGTTTGGTGCCAGGGAACTTAAAAACCCACTGCCATAACTTTTGTCAGAGAAGAAAAGAAAGCTTTGTTCTCCCAGAAGAAGGCAAGGAAGGAAGTTGGCATTAAAGCAGCATCAGCTGCTCCTCTGCCCCAGCACAGAAATGGAGCAAGAATTGGCCTTGACCTGCAAAGAATCCCTGGCAGTCTGGGGGGCCTGGCAGGGCCTCCTTTCCTTCTAAAGATCCCTCTGATGGGAGATGATGCAGAGGAATAAAGGGAACTGAAATCCTCTCTTTCTCCCTGGCAGGAGATGGGGCCACTGGGTCGTGCAGGCGCTGCAGCACGTCCAGGCCCCGTGGCCCTTCTGCCCTGGGGGGGCTGTAACTCCTGCTGGGGGTCCATCAGTGCTCATTGGAGGGGATGAGTTTCTAAATTCTTTGCATTTCTTTCTTTTCTTCACAGGAAAGCAGCAGAAAGAAATAGGTAAGCTTTACTT